CTATTGCAGTGTTTCCCCTGCCATTATATTAGGGGGGCTGCACCCCCCCCCCCCCCCCCCCGCACAACACATTTTGTTTTTGTGATCAGAGATGGGGCTCGTCGGGGCCACCCTCGGCAGCATCAACGCATGCTTCATCTAAGGGATTTTCGGAAATACATTGTATTTAATTTAATTTTCTCTATAGCGCCAGATCACAACAGAAGTCATTTAAAGTTACCTTTCCGATATAACAGGTCTATAGCTTGTTCTTTTATTAAACATACTAAATAGCCTTATTTAATTTATCTTATTTACACGATGGCATGTCATTTCGGTCTCTACATTATGGTCGTGCTCTCTGTATCACGCACAGTATATTTTATGTCATAACAAATGTAAATACACAAAGAATTTCTGAGCAAAAAATCATAAGGCTATTGTAAGAATAAATTAAACTTGTTTTTATGCTTTCAAATAATTAGACGTGCTAAAGCAGAATTTGGTAACAATAAACCATAAGTTTGGAAAAAATAAAACATTTCATAGGGCCCTAAACATGTAATTTTTGTTAAACTTTTAATATATTGATGTTAAATTGTTTGTTTCATGATTTTAATTAGTTAGACATGCTTTTTGGTTAAAATTTAATTTAACCATTAAAAAGGAGTCCAGAAAAAAAAACAATGGAACCCGCCCCCCTCAGTCTTTTCAGCCACACAGTATCATTATTTCAAATCACAAACATTCAAATCACAGAAGTACTGGGATAAAAGTTTATAGCTCAGATATAAACTCTGATGTGTACGGTAGCGATTAAAATAGAGTAAATATCCTTTTGAAAGTAATTTGACACTTCAAATGAAGATTTATCGATTGTAGGTGGTGAAAAGGGGCTGTTAAAATGTATTTGTCTTTGAATCATAAAAGAGATTTGTTCAAGAACGCTGATTCATCCAGTAATGAAACAAGTACATCTTGAGCGAGTCATTTAATCATTCATTCATAAATTACATGGGATTTTGTTTAGTTGTCTAATGTTTTTTATTCAGAATCATGAAAAAAAAAAAAATCAATTTATCCAGAATCATGCAGTTCTATTTTGCACACAAACAGCTCTTAAAGAGTTTTTATGTAGCCTGTTGATTTTTGTTCATGGTATTCATTTCCAATAAATGGTTTGCAAAAAAGAGACACAGGATACATTTTTTATATCATTATTTAATCACATTGGAATCGAAAAGAATCTGAATCGATAAGCGGAATCGGAATCAGATTTGATCGAATTCAAACGATACCCAACCCTAGCTTTATATCGTTCTTAGTAGAATTCGTATTTATTATTATTATTATTATTATTACTACTACTACTATCTTATCAGTATTATTGTTATTTTTTCCCCTTTTTTTTTTTTTTTTTTTTTAAAAAAACATTGAACTTAGGACTGGTGGTGTTTTTTTGGTTATTCA